TCCATGGGCTGATTCTGACCAGACACCTGGGTGGAGACTTCAGAAAACCAACTGAAAGCCTCTGCAGGAAGGAGGAAGCAGGATTGAGTTCAGTCTGTTTCCTGGTTGCAGTGGCTGAGCACTGGGTAAGTGAAGCTCCTTGACTGACTTGCCCTGTACTTTGTAACTGGAATGAAATCTGATCTCAACAGGAAGTCTAAGAGTGCTTCCACTTTGGTTCTAAATTCCAAGTTCTAAAATTTGTTTGGAATATTTAGATGAGATCTAATGCTGTAAATACTTTGGTATGGGGACACTTGGTTCCAACTGAGTTGAGAGTCATATCCCTTACCATATTCTAGGTGTGAGAATTTTTAAGGCAGTCCTTTAGCTTCTCTCAAACTCTGTCTCAAACGTACTTACTTATGTTCATTTATTGTGTGAGTGAATAGGTATATTAAAAGATAGTTGTGTCTAAGGATTGGATTTTCCTCTTGAGTACTTTTATTAGTGATGTCCACTATCCTTGGTCTCTTAACAGAATGTCTTCTGCAGGGTTCAGTTAATCCTGCAAGGAGCAGTCTCCTAACAATTCCTGCTTTTCTTGAATTAACTGATTAGAAATCTCATGGTTTCAAATATCCAGTGATGTTGAAGGATATGATCTGCAATGTCTAGAAGAGTATTGGGGAAGTTTTCTGTTCTGAAGGAAGCTTAGTTGGGAGGGCCTCTAAGAGCATTTTCATATTTACTCCCTCTAAGCACAAACCAGAAGACTACACAGCAGGAAAGAAACAGCCACAGGAGTTAGGAGCCTGGCAGACAGTGCTCTGTGCTTTGGCCTGAGGCTCACAGCTTCCCTGCACTTCTTACCTCCTTTCTGATACACTGTTCATTCCTTACCGAGGCCCCTCCTTTATTGTCTCAAACTCAAGCAGCTGACTGCGCCCTGACCTTCAGAAGGAACTTAACTTCAACCTCTAGCTACTTCCTGCTCTGAGAGCTACTTAGAGTAGTCTTCCCTGACTGCAGCTTGAGTTTCGGTTTCTCTTTCAGTTTGCCTGCATGATCTGCTGCTAATAGCACACAAGCTCTCTGGCTGCTGGGAGTCCTGGCAGAGATGCAGGTGTTCTGTACACCGAGGACAGTTGACGAGCACTCTCTCTTATGGAGAAGACAATTCTAGCAGGGCTGGAATCGTTCTATTCAGATACTCTAAGGGCTTGCTAGGAGTGCTGTCATTCCTAGGTAGTTCAAAAAAGAACAAAGAAAATGTAGAAAGAAGTGGAAAAAACACATGGAGGCAAAAGTGACTCACTACTTCTCCTTAAGAGTTTCTACTCAGTAATGACAGATGTCCATGCAGTAGGTGTAGGAAATTCCATCTCGAGCCCTACCTATCATGAGAGCTGCTTGTAACCTTAAACTATGACAGCAGCATCTTACGGAAGGTGTCCCTCTGGATCAGTCTCCTTTTAATTCCTTTGTACGTGGCTCTTTCTCACAACTCCATTTTGGAAAAATCAAGAGTTAGTTTTTATTTTTTAGCCAAAATTTGAAAACAACTGTTGTACATGAAAGATGCAGAGATGCTAGGAATGGGCATCAAACAATGAGTCCTGATGTCTTGCTACGATATGACAGTGTCTTGCAATGAAAGTGCTGTATCATTTAGGAATCAATCAGATCAGTTCATGTAACTATTGCACACTGACCATGGGACAAAATAACACTCATCAGATCTGCAGAAGTGAGTTAAATATTTACAGAGTGGCAAGGCCTGTAGAAGTTGCTTCATTTTGTGTGTCACAGCTTCCTGCTCCCCAAATGAACACTGAGGTGTTCAAACCAGACACTGGGACAATGATCAGTGTACCAGTGACCTAGGGAAATGCTGGGAGGAATTTAGCTGTGCCTGCGTGTTAATTAGGGACTCCAGGTTGGTCCAGCTCAGCACAGTAGTAAGCTCGTCTAACTCCAGCTGCTGGGGAGGCTGAGGTGAGAGGATCGCAAGTGGGAACTCAGCCCAAACACCGCAGTGTGACCTTATCTCTAAAAAGTAAAAAGGGCGCAGGCTGTAACTCAGTGATAAAGCATTTCTGTAGGCTATGTGAGAACCTGGGTTCAAAACCAATTACTGGAAAAAAAAATACCCCACTTAGTTCAGACTGAAGGCAAGGCAGCCATTTATTCCTAAGGAACTGGCACCAACAAGCTGGTGTCCCAGTGCTGTTCTGAAGGGGTATTAATCTCTGCACATCCGGAGTTCAGCAAAAGGGGACAAGGACAGTTCAGGAGCCCTAGGTCCTCCAAGGAGAACCTCATGGGCAGAGCCTTCAGGACAAGATACAGGCCAGGCCAGGGAAACAGGGAATGGTACGAGAAATACAGAGGATCGAGACATCTCAACAGAGAGCATTATCCCCACACTAACTTCAGACCTGAAGCCTCCTTGACCCGGTGGACCAGGGACCCTTTCTACATCTGCTAAACACATTTTCTCCCGTTTGCTTTTCACACTGTGATGGAGAGGAGGTCATAACGGCTCCACATGAGTCACAGTGTGTTTAAATTTTTTTCTTAAATTACTTTAGACAGGAAGTGTACTTTGCAATTCCTTTTTGGCTCTTTCTCTTTTTGATTTTTCCATCATGATTCTGCTTTATATTTCAATAATTTAACACAGATATGTTCTGTAAAAATATTTCAGTTGGCTAACCATCGGGCTAAACATTTCCAGTGCTTGTGTTACAAAGGTAAACCATAACAAGATACTCGAGACTTTTCCAGTCAGGAGCCACCAACTTACTTCTAAGAACTTCCACTTTACCAAGCACATTTGGTTTGTTGATTTCTATGAGTATGTTATAAAAGTCTCTCTTTCCCCTTCTCCCTTGTCCTCCCCTTGTCCATCCTCCTCCCTTCCCACCTCTAACATTGAATCATTTGGGATCTGGTGCTGTCTGATTCATGAATTGCAGTCTGCTCCAATAAGTTCTTTAGAATTTGGATCCCCAAGTTTGTCATTTAACAGTTCCATCATTGACAATACTGGATCAGATCTCCCCATTCTGGTCTTTCTTTGTCTTCAGATTTAATTTTCACATATTTCAAGTTCTGCAGAGCTGAGCTGGTTAGCATTAGGGTTAGGGTTTGAACAGTCTATGTATTCATCATCCAACACTCACAGCAATTCTTCATTGTGGCTTATTTCTTAGTTTTCCCTTTGATTTTTTTCTTTACTGGCCACTAAAGAGATAACATTTCATCAGAACAGCTTATGGCTTTTGTATTTCTCAAGTTACTTCATGGTTGAGATGGTCTTTGTATTTGTGTCTCCATTTCAATTCAAATAATCATAACAGTGGTACTTGAGCATTGAACTTTCCTGCAATGCTTTGTGGATATTACTCGTTTACCTCTTTTTTGAAATTTTGTGTAATATTCTGTTGCTTGCATGGTATCTTCTTCATCATGAAGTGTGTGCCTTCTCTGCCATGTTTCTGTAATTCTTTTTAATTTTAAATTTCAAGAGTTTAATGAGAATATATTTCATTGTCAAACATGTACAATCAGACTTTGCAGAATTATCTTGTCTTCTTTTCCTTCTGTTTCATTTCTAGAACATAATAAGGATATAGATTTTGATATAGATACAGATGTATCTTTTGTATGTTTTCTATTATACTTTCTGAGTTCCCCTCTCCAAGTGGATTTTCTTTGTAATTGTTTTGTCTAGGTGTCCCCCTAAAGCTTTGTGGAGAAGTGACTGAATCATAAGTGTCTTGTGTTCATCAGAGGATTAGTCCACTGATGAGGTTATAGCTAAGTGTGGTGTCATGAAGTGAAGCCATGTTGGAGGAGGTGGTTCAGTAGGAGCCTGGCCTGGAAAGGCCTCTCTCCCTTCTTCCTCCCTGATCTATCTCTCTTCTTCGCATCACAATGCCATGAATTCTTTGCCTTTTGCCAGGCTCCTCCACCCTGCTTCCCAGTCCTGGATCCAGCTGACTATGGACCGATACCACTAAAACTCTGACCCAATACAGACCTCTCCTCTTTAATTTGTGGATTTGTATATTATGTCTCAATGATGGGAAAGTATGACAGAGTCTTCTTTCCTTTTTATTTATTTATTTATTTATTTATTTTGGTACCGAGGATTGAACTCACAACCTTGCGCTTTCCAGGCAGGTGCTTATGCCACTGAGCTAAATCTCCGGCCCACCTTTCCATTTTTATTAGCTTCTGGTTGACTTTTGGAGTGGCTTAGATTTTCATAATCTTTTACTATGAATCTAAAGATTTTCTTATACTTACTGTGACATTATGTACATTTATACAGTGTTTCTTTATCATTAGTTATGTATTATCTCTGTCTTTAAATCATTTTTGTGCATAAACCAGATTATTTCTTCACCTGATTCTTTTTTTGTTAATAAGTCCATTTCACATGCTCTAATTTGCCATGTTCCTAAGAAGAACTTCTTTTCATTCGTCTTTCTTCTTGTACTAATTGCATTTTTTGGAATGTAAGTTTTACATGTTCATCTTTTCCTCCTCCCAGTGTCATACTATATTTTCATATGTTTTATCATCAGATTCCTGTATGTGTAGCTGGGTCTCCACTGAGTTTTTTTAAAGACCATTTCTTCCTTCTTCTGTCCCTGTGTCCCCAGCTGTAGTTCTTTTGCCACCTAAATGAATCCACGAATGTATCGTTGGCAATCAGGGCATGGAACATGCTTTAGTCCGCCTTCCCGTTACCATAATAATCATCCAGGTGGCTCCTTCTGTGAAACCTTGTGGGGCTCCCAGAACCCCCAGTCTTACACCCTTCGGGGCTGCTTCCTTTACCTCCCCATCCTTGCCAGGGAAACTCAGTTGTTTACCATTTTGTCAACTTTGTCTGTTCTAGATGATTGCATATTCTTCATAAGCAGTTGTCTATAAAACTACTCTTTCATTTCTGAGAAAAAATATCTTATATATATTTTTGAAACTGTCTTCCTTACCATTTTTAGAATTTGTGCCCAGAAGAAGAAATATTCCAAGACTTTGGAGTGGATACTGACAATCAGCTGAAACTCAGCTTACCAGAACCGGTACAAAAACGCCATCCTCTGGATTCTCAGTGGGCTCCCTGAGTGTGTACACACCGCTGTCTGTAAACCTCCTGTATGGGTGGTCAGACTGAGACGATGCTGTGTCCCTGCACAGAGATGCTACCATCCCATTTAGAAAGCAAATACTATTTTCAGTTAACTCTTTCCCCAGAAGCTACTTTCCAAGTACCTTCTTGTTGCATCACATTTTTAACAGCACAGAATTTTTTACATTTATTTGCAGAACACCATTATTCATGTACAACATGTTGCTAGTATTGAGGTTCCTTAGAAAATTCTGGTTTTATTTGGGGACCTGAAATTATTAAATTCCAACTCAACATTTTATCATTTTAAAAACAAAAGGTACCAAGGCACCAGAGAACAAAGGAGTGGGATTGAGTTTTGAAGGTTCACAGAGGAAAGAACAAAAATTTAAAAACAATTTAAAAGGAATAGTAAAGGAATGATCACTTAAGCAGCAAATGGCCTGCTGTGTGTGATACACCTTACTTCTCTAGATCAGTTTTCATCTCTCTTCCACATATATTCTTTACAGATTCTGGTTAAAGAGCTAAATAGGTACTGGGGAAGTTTGGCCTTTCTTTTCTCTGACTCAGGTTGCTAGGGATTTAGTTTGTACAAATGTGAAGAGGTGTTGGTGTAACTAAGGTTGAAAAGAAATGCAAGGGATCTCATAGATTAATGATAAATGTAAGCATAAGGAACATATTCTCAGAGGTAATTCACTCATTTTTCAAATTTTAATGAAGCTTTTCCCCCCGGCTTTGGTGCTGTGGACTAGACTCAGTTGTAAAGGTCCAAACAGTACTTGATGAGTGAATAAATAAAAAAATCAACCAATCAACGACTGAGTCGGTATAAATCTTTAGTTGTAGAATGTTATGTTTTAGCTATTGAGTAATTTAAGTGAATCAGTTTCATTAAATACCGTATTCTCTACTGAGTAATTTACCTGGTCCTCAGTCGTTAAAAGCCTATTTTACTTTTCTTTTCTTTTCTTTTCTTTTATTTTTGGAGATAAGGTCTCACTGTAGTTCAGGCTATTCTTAAACTCACTATGTAGCACCAGATTGTCTTGAACTCACAGTGATCCTCCTGCCTCAGCCTACTGAGTGCTATGATTATAGACGTGTACCATGCTCAGCTCAGAAGCCTATTTTAATAGATATCAATTGAAATATGTTTTTTCTTTTCTTTTGTCAATGATAAAACCACATGTAATATGTTTTTCATTTGGTTCAGTATTTAATTGGATTTCTAATATCGGATACTGGAAGGTTGAAAGAAATTATAAAACATTAGTTCTGGGGTCACTGAGAATAGTTAGTGAAATTAAGAATGTAAGTTAATTCATATAAAATTATGGATATGTGTAAAAATTGTTTGTATTTACATACATAAATTGCATGATATCTGTAGTTAACTTACTCCTGAAAAATCCTAGTGTAAAGATAGTATTTCTTCTTGATTTCTTTTTCTTGTCTCAGGGACCATGGATATTGAAGCATATTTTGAAAGAATTGGTTATAAGAACTCTAGGAACAAATTGGACCTGGAAACATTAACAGACATTCTTCAGCACCAAATCCGAGCCGTTCCCTTCGAAAATCTTAACTTGCATTGTGGAGACTCTATGGAGTTAGACCTAAAGGCCAGTTTTAATCAAATTGTGAGGAAGAACCGGGGTGGGTGGTGTCTCCAGGTCAATCATATTCTATACTGGGCTCTGACCACCATGGGGTTCAAGACCACATTGTTGGGAGGATATGTTTATAACCCTCCAGCCAATAAATATAGCACTGGTATGATTCACCTTCTAGTTCAGGTGACCATCAATGGCAGAAACTACATTGCTGATGCTGGCTTTGGACGCTCCTACCAGATCTGGGAGCCTCTGGAATTAATTTCCGGGAAGGATCAACCTCAGGTGCCTGCCATTTTCCGGTTGACAGAAGAAAATGGAACCTGGTACCTGGACCAAATCAGAAGAGAGCAACTCATTCCTCACCAAGAATTTCTTAATTCAGATCTTCTAGAAATGGGAAAATACCGGAAAATCTATTCCTTTACTCTTGAACCTCGAACAATTGAAGATTTTGAGTCGATAAATGTTTTCCTTCAGACATCCCCAGCATCTGTGTTTACAAGCAAATCCTTTTGTTCCTTGCAGACACCTGAAGGGGTTCACTGTTTAGTGGGCTGGACCCTCACCCATAGGAAATTTAGTTATGAGAACAATGTAGATCTGGTAGAGTTTAAGACTCTGAAGGAGGAAGAGGTAGATGAAGTATTAAAAACTATATTTGGTATTTCATTAGAGAAAAAACTTGTGCCCAAACATGGTGATCGATGTTTTACTATTTAGGGTAAGCAGCACCAGTGGTTTTCCATGTACTATATATAGTTAAACTTTTATCATAAAAATTTCCAACACACAAATGTGATTGATGGGAAAATAACCCGTTGTGTATTGTATATTCACATCACCAATGTTCAATAGGTGATTTATTATATCCTTCCCACCCTTTAGACATGGCACAACTTATCTGTAAAATGTCAGCATACGTAATGGAATGATGTTGGACACCAGGCTGTGTTAAGGGTTAAGTTTATGAACAGAGTCTCTCTGGATGTATTGGAAAGCATCTATGCACAGTGCTCTGCAGTCAGCTGTGGACTTGGGCTGCTGACACTCCCTATTTCAGAACAATAAAACTGTTGAACTCAGAGATCAGACCTGTCAGTTAATTGTCAAAATTTACTGCTTGAAGTCTTTCAACTAACTTCCCAAGGTCGTGCTCAGTTTCTGTCTTGTCTCAGTATCCCCTTCCTTTGTTTGAAAACCAAATATATATGGGATGTCCAGAGAAGCTGTTGTCTTTACTCCCAGAGAATTTTTACCTTTCTGAAGCACCATACACCATATGCCATCATTTCTCTTTATTTAAGCCATTCACTGTACACTCATTTTGAGAGATTGGGCTAGGCCAAGTCCCCAATAGAATGACTTTTTCAGAGGCACATAATCACACACCTTTACAAAATGCATTATGCTTGAAATGCTTTAGTGATAATATATTTAACTTGTGAACCATACTGATACATGCTAGAAAACTTCCTATTTTAGGAAATGTATTGATAAATCCATACTGGTAGTGAGTAAAGACAACAGTGAGAAAAATTGTTCCATTAAGCTCAACCAGTTACATTTAATAACTAGCATTTCTCTCAATATGAATCCCGTCATTACACAATACCCAGTGTGGTTTTCGTCTGTGATTGCTTGGCTCTGAGACAGAAACATCTTGATGAAGAGATTCTGTAAATAAAGATGTTTTTCTCCATGTGCTGGAAAGCAGAAAAGAGGAACAGTTTCACAGAGACAGAGATGAGGGAGTAGATACATTCAGCGTGCAACCTAGTGATATCCAAAAGTGTGCTTTACTAATCCTTTAGTAAAGGATTAGGATCCTTTGGTCTTATTGATATAGCACAGTTAACTGCTGAAGTACATTAAATGTTCACTTAAAATCACCAAGTTGGATCATTTTTTTATACAAGCATGGTTCAACAGGTGCAAATAATATGATTCAGCCATATGAACAGAATAAAGGACAAAATACATATAATCATTTCATAATAAAAGAAAAATGATAAAATTTACATTTGTATTGATAAATTATAAACAATTTTTGTAAGAAGGAATTTTCCTCAAAATAAGAAAAGTCATATATGACAAAGTCACAGTGACCGCATACTCTAAAGAGTGAAAAGATTTTAAATATTTCACCAGCAAGAAATGCTAAATATTCAAGATATGGGGTACATTAATTAGCCTGATTTGATAATAGAACAATATCTCCATGTATGAAATGACATTTTATCAGACAAATATACACAATGATTGTCAAACTTCAAAACTAAATAAATGAGCTCAATGGTTTAATAAGTAGGAATCTAGTTGCTACCAACACTCCCTCAATAACTACCTTCATTAGTAGCTTGAAACAACCATTGTTTTCAGCTCACATTCTTAGAGTCTGGAATTTAAAAGCACAGAATAAGCCTGCTCTCTTCCTCTCTCCAGTATACAGTCACAGTAAAGAGGATTCCTGTTGCTCGTAGTGATTTGTAGCTCATCCACAAGCATTTTTGACAGCATAAGTGGCACTGAGATGGTGCTAGCATGGGAAATTCTCCACGTGGCCTCCATGTGGGGACGGCTCCCTCACAGCACAGAGGCCTCAGGGCAGTCATATTTTCTACCATGGAATCTGGATTCTACCTCTGATTCTCTCAGCTTGCAATGGCAAACAAACACCAAAAACATCACCCAGAATGTGGAAGCAGATTTATTTAACATTGAATGAGCACTGACAAGGAACCAATCCTTATAAAAATGTCAGGCCCTGAAAGCTCAGGGAGTGAGATTTTTATGGGGGTTTGAAAGCAAAGTGCAGAGTACTTGGCTGTCTTTGATTGATTCTTACAATACAAGTCATAGTGACCAGCTGTGTATCACAGTGACCAGCCCTTTCCATGAAATGGAAGTAACAGGAACTGTCACCAGGCAGCTAACAGAGACTGAAGTAGACTGACTAGGGAAGAGGGGCATTTTCTGCTACAAGCTTACAAGGTGGAAGCTGAATCTTACTTATTTTTTTGATATGATATAATTCATATCACATGAAACTATTGTAAGTCAATAATTAACTGGTGTTTAGAACATTCTCAGTGTTATGTAATCACCATTTTTGTCCAGTTTTAAACAGTCTAGTTACCTCATTTAGCCCATTTAACCATTCCTTTCCCATTAAAAAGTTTGAATCCTCTTTTATAGTTTTATAAACGTTACATAACACTACTTCTGTCACATTCTTTTGACTGCATACAAACAAAAAGATGTTCTAGAGTCAAGAAGAGGGAATATGTCTATCGAGGACCTGGGCAAGATCTCCAATCTCCCAATCAAGTGTGTGGCAAAGTCTTAAATAAGCCAAGGGGTATGATTTTAGGGATCCAGAAGGATCAAAACCCTGTAGCAGAGTTTGAAACTCTAAGGGCTAAGACAAGGAATGCCTCTGGGAAGCCCATATTTATTTAGTTTTTCAAACAAGGAAGGGGGTAGAGTGGAAAATGAGCAGGAAACTGAGAAGGATCTTGGGAGTGGTTCAAGGACTTTTCCAAGTAAAAGACTATGTTAATTTAGAAGAACTGTCTTATGTTAATTTAGGAGAAGCATCTTAGGAGAAAGTCTCCAGGTGGACTTTCACTACAGGAGTGAAATGTGTACAGCTACAATCTCTATCTTGTTAATTGGGGTTGGATCCAGGTGTTGTGGCCTTATCTTGCCCTTTGAGGCATCTATTTGTTTTGAGATTGTCCATGCCCTGGCCATGCCACAGCCCTGCAAATGTGTTCAGTTTCCAACTTCAATGGCTCCCAACATGTCTTTATTTTTAATGTGGAACTATGTCTACATTATCTTATACATAATATGTTTTTATGATCATCTTTGAAATAACCTGTGAAAGGAAATTCTCTACACAGAAAAATTTACATTTTTCAAATATGCAAAGTATACTTTCACCATTCCAAAATGCTCCCAAAATTCCCCCCTTTCTATAGCAGAAACTCAGTATTAAATGATGTTTCTGGGAGTCTCAAGCCCAGAGTGTGTGTGGGTTAAGACTCAGCACACAAGGAAACCTTGGAACATTGCTCCCAGGCCATAAAACTACACCCTGCATCTGAAATCACAGGAGGTCACATGGAGTCTCAGTGAGCCAAAGTGACCGAAGCCCAGCAACTCAAAGAGACTAGTTGTTGCCTGCTGTCTTCCCCAGGTGCCAAAAGTGGGCCAGGTGAATCTCAGTGCACGGGAAAGGCTTGAAACATTACTTGAAATCTGGAAATACAGGAAAATGACAAAACAAAAGAGTAAACTGCAGTCTCAAATTCCCAGCCCAATCCAAGCAAACCTAGGAGACATGCACACAGAAAAAAATATAAGCCATACATCTGAAATGTTTGATATGATATCAACTGAAGTAAAGAAACAACTCTGGGAAGCTTTAAAACAACTCAAACTAGAAATTGTATCCTGGTAAAAGAAGAAAAGATAAATGTAATGAAAGAAATGCTGAACACGTCTAAAGAAGACATAGTTTAAAATTTAGAAAAACAATGCAAAAAGATGGAAACTCTGAATGAAGAATATAAGAAACAAACAGAATGCATGAAGCAGATTCAAAGAGATATACAGGAAATCAAAAATTCCATCCAAAGCTGGCAAAACCACCTCAATGAAAGTGAACATGAAATTTCAGACTTTGAAGACATGATTACAGCTAGTGAATAGGAAAGCAAAGATATTTTAAAAATAACAAATATCCAGTAAATAACACATCAAAAACTGCAAGATGATGGGAAAAAAACCCAACTTGATATTGATAGGTATAAATGAAAAGAAAAGTGACAAAACAAATGATATCAAGAGGCTATTTACAGAAGTAATAACTGAAAACTTCCCAAACATGAGAATGGAAACTGACATACAGATCAGTGAAGCCTATAGAACTCCAAATAACCATAGCCAAAATAAAACTACACCCAAACATATAATAATAAACATCCCAGAAATCCAACATAAGAACAGAATATTAAAAGATGCTAGAGAGAAGAGACAGATCACCTACAAAGGAAAGCCTATCAGAATCACAGCAGACTTCTCAACACAAGCAATGAAGTCAAGAAGATCATGGAGTGAAGTATTTCAGATCCTAAAGGAAAACAACTTCCAACCCAGATTGATGTACCCTGAAAACGCGTCCTTCAAAATGGATTGAGAAATAAGATACTTCCATGACAAAGAACAGTTGAAGAACATCTTGACCACCAAATCAACCCTGCAAAAAATGCTGAAAAACATTCTAGACAGACAAAGGAAAAAAGCCACCAAGTAAGGCAAACAATTACACAGAGGGGAAAGGTAAAAAATCAACAGCAAAAAGACTATATGTCAAAAGTAAAATGATATATATTAGTTTTAACTATTAATTTAAATGGTCTCAATTCACCAATTAAAAGAAGCAGACTGGCAGAATGGATCAAGAAACAACATCCAACCATATGCTGTATAAAGAAAACCTATATAACCCAAAAGGAGGCTCATAGACTGAAAGAAAAAACTCAAATTTATGTAATAGGAATGAAAAGAGTGAAACCAGTACAGACCTTGTAGAAATACAGAAGATCATCAATACCTATTTTGAAAATCTCTACTCTCGTTGGCTTAATAACACAGAAGAAATGGGCAGATTCCTAGAAACATATGAATTACCGAAGCTGGGTCAAGAAGGTGTAAAAGTGCTGAATAACCCAATTTCTATTAATGAAATTGAAAATGTAATTAAGTCCTTACTTACAAAGAAGAGCACAGGCCCAGACAGATTCACTTTTAGAATTCTACAAGAAATACAAAGAAGATTTAATGCCATCACCCCTCAAACTCTTTAACGAAATTGAAAAAGAAACAATTCTCCCTAATTCATTCCTTGAAGCAAATATTACTCTAATACCAAAACCTGAGAAAGACCCAAACAAAAAAGAGAACTACAAGCCAATCTTCCTAATCAATTTGGATGCAAAAATTCTCAATAAAATTTTGGCAAACAGAATGCAGCAAATCATCAAGAAAGTTATACACCATGACCAAGTGGGATTCATC